TGGGGACTTTTTGGCAGCATTTTTTATTTTCATAATTCAATTCCATTTTTTGTAGGCATGCTTAGAATAATGCAAGGATCATTTTTGCAAAATTTCAAAACTTTTTGGCGTCGTTTTTAATTTATTTTATTTTTCATAGATGAAAAATAGGAAAAATCATAAAACATAGAATATTCATCAAAAAATAGTGCTAGTTGTTGCATTAATTCTTAAAAATCATATATTAATTTTGGAATGTGAAACATAAATAAAAATGTTAATTTTTAACTCATCCTGTCCCCTGGGCGCCCCACTGCTCGGGCCAGGTGCTTTTAACAGTGCTTTCTGTTTTCATAATTCAAGGCCATTTTTGCAGGCATGCCGAAAAAATGTAAGGATCGTGTCGTCAAAATTTTAAAATTTTTTAACATCGTTTTTATTTTATTTTATTTTTCAAAGACAAAAAATAAAGAAAATCATAAAAAATAGAATATTCATAAAAAAAAAAAATGGTGCTGCTTGTTGCATTAATTCTTAAAAATCATATATTAATTTTAGAATGTAAAACATAAATAAAAATATCCATTTTTGACACATCCCGACCCCTGGGCAACCCACAGCGGGGGCTGGGGGCTTTTTGACAGTGTTTTCTTTTTTCATAATTTGAAATCATTTTTTGTAGGCATGCTCTAAAAAATGTAAGGATCTTGTTTGCAAAATTTTAAAATATTTTGTCGTCATTTTTATTTTATTTTATTTTTTAAAGACGATAAATAGAGAAAATCATAAAAAATCTGAATTTTTTGTCGTTTTGTCAAAACGTCATTTTTCTCATCAACAGAAAAATGACATCGTTTCGCTCTTAAAAGTATTTTTCCGTTTTTGTCAAAATGACGTCGTTTTCTAGCATAAGAAAAAACACGTCGTTTTGGTGGTAAAAGTTGTCTTTTTTAAAACGACGTCGTTTTAACGCATCAATAAAAATGACATGTCATTTTTTTGTGAAATTTTTTGTCAAAACGACGTGTCATTTTGTAGGGTTTTTTTTTTTTCATTTTTTTTTTGTCAAAACATGTCGTTTCGTAGGTGACACTTTTTTGTTGTTTTATGGAAAACAACGTCATTTCTCAAGTTGAGATGTGACTTTATGTGAGAGTTTTTTACTGTAGTAAAAAAGTTAGATGTGATTGTTTCTGAGAGCTTTTTACTGTAATAAAACTCGAATCGGTAAAATGAACAGGGCTTAAGTGTCGTGGAACCAACATGAGTAATAGAAACGCCTTTACCATCTCCAATGGTGATGTTGTCGTTGCCACCATATTCAGAGTGCATTGAGAGATTTTGGAGATCAGTTGTGAAGTGGTGAGAGGCCGGAAGCGACTATCCAATTGCCGCTATCGCTGATATGATCACTCATCATAAAATTTGCTTGAGGAGTGTGGTACAGCTGTGGGTGAGATCTGCACACTTTGGCACTGTGACCAATTTTGTCACATAGCTGATAGACAACTTTAGGTTGGTGGGAGCCATAGTTGAGATTGCTGTCGTAATTAAGTCGCCATGATTGTTGTTGAGAGTTTACTTGAAAATTGCGAATCCCTTGATTATTGGAATTGCCTTAAAAGTTTTTGGATCCAGAATTTGGATGCATTCTTTTGTTGTGAGGATTGCCTCCATAATAACCTCCATGATTTCCTCCAGAATTTCCTGCCTTTCCTTTGACATTGGAATTTTAAGTGAATTGAGCAGTGATAGGAGTGTTTACCTTCTTTGATTCTCCGCGCTTCAGGAAGGTTTCGTGGTCCAGGAGTTTGTCATGTAATTCCTCGAATGAGATCGGAGAATCTCTAGCACGTACAGCGGCATTGATTTCCTTGAAGTCTGGTTCTAGTCCATTGAAAACATATACAATCAATTCATCCTCGTTCAGAGGATAGCCGATGAAGGCAAGATCGTCAGCTATCCATTTGATTGTCTGCATGTACTTGCTGACCTTCGACTCTTTTTAAGTGTTGGCCAATGTTTCTCGCAGTCCAAGCATTCTTGTGCGGGATTTGCTAGCATAGGTTCTTTCAAGTTTCGGCCAAGCTTCATTTGGTGACGTCGCCGGGGCAATTAAGGGGGCGACTGGGCCAGACACTGATGCAAGCATGGCATGGAGAATGAGTCTATCATGACGTTTCCACATCCTGCAATTTGGATTAGGAGCAGAGGTTCCGTCCTTTGGGTTTGTTACGGTTTCAGGTGGACAAGGTGTCGAGCTGTCGAGAAAGCCGATAAGATCATATCCATCAGATTGGTGAATTGTGCTCTCCAAGAAGCATAATTTCCTTTGGCTAGTTTGAAGGGCATTTGAGTTGCAGCATTGATAGAGAGGAGGGTGTTTGAGATTGTGTTTGTATGGTGTTTCCAGTGGTAATAACGGCAGGGCTTTTCTATTCAGTTCCTCAATTCAAGCTCGGTTCTTATCACTCTCTGATGTAGAGCTTTCATCAGCCATGATTGGCAAGAGAGAGAGAATTGAGAAAAGAATGCAAGGAAGTGAGAGAGAGAGAGGCCTTAGGATCGGCTCGCTTAGAGCAAGTGGTGCTCTGATACCATAAAATATAATTGAGTGAATAATGAGAGTTGTTCTGTTCATTGGCGTGTTGTTGGGAAGCCAGTGAGGTTCATCGTGCCATAGTGAGAAATGGGAAGGAAAGACCTAAAATCAAGTATACTAATAAAGGTCATTTCTCAAACCAACTATGCTTCAGACAATACAATAACATCAGAAAAACTCAAACATTTTCGCACAAATTAAAAAGAGAAAATAAACGAAATAGAAAATTGAATTTCAAACATTAAGAACACTTCCTAAATCCTTCTTTTTTGATATTTTATCTACCAAATTGTGAATCAATTAGAAAATAAATAAATAAATCTATTAAGCATCTCACGAACTCATAGAACAATAAGGGTACTTTGTAAACCTTTTATTTTTTATTTTTTTTAAGGTGGAGGGGTTAGATTTTTAATCAAGCTCCTTTGAAGCTGGAATATCTCCATTAATTTTCCCACGCACTTTAGGAACATAATTGCATTGTCTGCCAAATGGAGTTAATATAATCTCTTGAGACCTAAAGAAATCACTGGATTATATTTGCTAATGAAAAAGCGCTTGATAATAATAGAGTAGACTAATAGTCCTACAGCCACTTTGATAGCAAAATAGAGGAGACACTACACCATTGATCACCATTAAAAAGCTTTAAAAGGAATCCGTCGGGGAAAAAAAAAAAAAGAAAGCATTAAAAGGAAAAAAAGAAGCAAAAAAGAAATGGCCATTTAAGACAAGCTTTTGGGATCAATAGGTCACTTGTTTTCTGCCAACAAAGCATAAGCAAAGCCTAAAGCAAGCATGACAAGTTTCAACATGCAGTATTCTAATAGCTACTTTTGAATTTCCATTAAAAACATTTTAATACAAAAACTGAAATTGAATGCAAACATAATGAGGAAGTTTAAAGACAGACTTTGAGAAACTGACAAGTATATACAGCCTACTACTGGTTCGTCATGGTACAAGGCTTAGCACTCAGACAGAATCAATGATCAGTTCAAGTTGCACAATTTGCTCAATATCATTATAGCAAAATGCATGGCTAGATTAATTACAACTTTCCGCTAAACCAAATGGCCGAAAAAAAAAGGAAAAAGAAAAAAACCAAAGAGAAACTTCTACATGACTATAGATTACAGTAGGGGTCACCAATTGCAGTGGAACACCCAAATACAAACAGGCAGGGATCAACAATTGCAGCCAATAATATATACATCTATTTTTCTTTTGGTTGAATAATATATACGAACAAGTTCCTTTTTTGTAAGAATTATTAATCATACTGTACGTTACCATTACAATCATCACCATACTCCCAAACCACTCTATACCAAGAACAGAGCATATCTCTTCTAAGTTTGGCAAAGCCAAAAAGCTCTCTCCTCTATCCTCTCCATTCAAACATCCATTATCAGGTCCTTCGCAAATATTCGTGTGTTTGTGTGTGACGTATATATAATATATGCTTTTTTTTGGGTGATCTAGATATCAGACATTATTTTCAAGAATGAAAGTCAAAAACCAAACGTTTTATTACAGAAACACCAAGTACCACTCACAGCTTTTTTGAAGATGGCGGCGGCTCTTCCGGTATGGACGATGGCGATGGGAGGTGACGTCGGGTCTGGACCGCGGCGATGGAAAGGGATGGTCGCCGGTCTTCCCGTTTTGAGCAGTTCCGGTACGTTGAGAGAGAGAGTGTACGAGTATATTTGGACTGCGGCGGCTCTCCCAGTACGGACGGCGGCGACTAGACGCGACACCGGGTCTGGAAGGCGGTGATGGGTGGAAATGGCGGCCCGTCGTTCCGGTCGTGATCGCTCTGGTTCGTTTGACAATGAGCGAGTTAGGGAGGGAGGGAAGGAAGTAAGAGAGTTCGCGAACTTGGGGATTTTGACTCGAAGGGTTTTCTATTTAATTCCGACAAAATTTGATAAAAGAGACCGGAGCAAAACACAAATTGAGAAAGTATACCACTTTTTTTATAACAAAAAAACCTTGACGTGTATTTTACGTGTTAAAAAATGGGTCTTATTAGTCCATGTGTATGGGTCATTTTTTTCAAAAAAACTCTCCCTCACAAACCGACCGACCTCGACCCTCTCTCCAACCGACTGAGCTCTCCTCACGACCGACCGACCCTCTCGTCGGTTTTTCTCTCCGACCTCTCACCGACCACCAGTTTTTTTCTCTGATCTGTCACCAACCTCACGACCGTCCCCCCTCCGATTTCCTCTCACCGGTTTCTCTCTCTCTCGCCGACGTTCTCTCGTCGGCCGATCCTCTCTCGCCGACTCTCTCGTCGGCCGACCCTCTCTCGCCGACGACCGACCATCCTCACCAAAAATCAACCACCCGACTCAATAAAACCGACCAAAAACCGACCCCGACTACTGACCAAAAACCGACCCCGACTGAAATGGCATCACGAAACAACTCTTCTTCCTCAACTAAGACGACCATTTCCCGAACACTTGTTGACGAGGTAACAGAATCTGCTCAGGTAATATTCTCTGATTTAAATTAAGGCTTTATTCTTTTTTTACGTTTTCTTATACATTTTTGCAAGAACAAAAACTTAATATAAGTCAGTTTTAAGTCGGTTCTTAGTCGGTTCTGGTACATAAGTCTATTCATAGTCGGTTTTGGTTTTTCTGTGGTCTGTTCGTAGTCGGTTCTAGGTCGGTTTTAAGTCGGTTCTTGGAGGAGTCGGTTCTTGTCAATTTTGGTCGGTTCTAGTCAATTTTGCTCGGTTCTAGGGGGAAGGTCGGTTCGGGTCGATTCTTGGTCGGTTCTGGTCGATTTTGGTCGGTTCTAGGGGGAAGGTCGGTTCTTGGTCGGTTCGGGTCGATTCCTGGTCGGTTCTTGTCATTTTGGTCAGTTTTGTCGTTGGTTCTATTCGGTTTGGTCTGTTCTAAATTGTTCATATGGTTCTTGGTCGTGGACTATCAGTTCTGGATCGATTCTAGGTTGGTTCGGTTTGTTATAGTCGAATCGTTCTTGGTCTATTCTAGTCGGTTTGGTCGTCTTGGTCGATTCTGACCGATGTGTTTTTTATTTTTTTTTCAATATGACCTCCCGAAGTACAACACAGATGAACTTCCTGGGATTGGACAGCTAAGGATGATCATGGATCCTATGAAGGAGTACTTCCCAGTGAAAGTGACTATGAAGTCAAAGATCGAGGCCCTGGAGGTAATAAGGCAGAATCTAGACCCTGAAACCAAAATGCCAATTTTTAAGGAATCTGCCTTTGGACATTTGATTTCGATGTCTGAAAGTATGATCTATTTTGGAGTGTTGACACACTATCTGCTTTTGAGGCAGATAGAAATAGAAAAGAAATATGAGTTGTGGTTCATGGTTAATGGAAAACCAACTAGGTTCGGAATGAGAGAATTTGCTTTAATCACTGGATTGAACTGCGGGAAAATCCCAGAGTCGTACGTGGTGTTGAAAGCTTCGAATAATATAAGATTGTTAGAGTATTTTAAGGCCCACGTAGTACTTGTTGCTGATTTAAAGAAATTGTTCACAAAGAACAAGATAAAAGGTAGCGATAAAGCAAAGATCGCTATCATTTACTTTTTAGCACAAGTATTACTATCTGAAGACGAGAAGAAGACCGTCCCACTGGATTGGCTGTCTTACGTCGACGATTTAGAATTCTTTAATAGCTATCCATGGGACAGGGTGTCTTTTGAATGCACTCTGCGGTCTTTGAAGAAGAACTTGAAAGAGAAATTTCAGAAATGGGTTCGAAAATGACGTAATAAGAGCATCAAAGAAACCTACTCAATATTCCAGGTATGTCATACAGTTATATGCATAATTTTTAATCATGGCCTTATAGTAAATAATACCTTGTTTTTTGTTTTACTAGACTTAAAAAAATTGGTTTAACGCAGGTTTGGGCAATCAAAACTTTTCCAACCATCGGCGCCACGTTTGCAAAGATGATTGATGGACGTCTTCCTAGAATCCTCAAATGGGAGGCACGCCGGGTTTCATTGGTTGAGGTTAGACAGATAGACGACCTCATGCAAAGTGGCGAGGTAAGGATTTAAATACAATGTTTTTATAGCTATGTTTCCACCTAAATAACTATAATGTAGCATTGAATGCAATGTTTTTTTACAATATGTTTCCACCTAAATAATCATTGAATGTATGTTCTTTTAATATACATGGAATGGTCGTACCAATTCTTTATCCTACTGAGGAGGAAATGAATAGTATGTGCATGAGATTGTATCTACCTTATGCCGACCAAGAAGATGCAGAGATTGATGAGGTTGTATCATTTTTGGACCCTAGTGCAAGAATGGTCCATGTCCAGCAACCGAAGCCTCCCAAACAATTGGCTCGTCTCCAACAACTTTCCCAACAACAACAGTAACTTCCCCAATAACAACAAGAACAACAACAACAACAAAAACAAATACAACAACAACAACAACAACAACCTCGTCCACAGGATGGTATGTCTTTTGATTACATACTTGACATACTCTATCCCAGGATGGTAGAGTACAATGGTAGACATTTTGAAGTCATCAACAAGAGGTTAGACTCGCTAGACCAATCTGTTAGAGAAATAAAGGACACTATAGCATGTCTAGCAAAACAACAATTACAGCCACAGCCAGAGCCTGAGGCACAACTTGAGCCACAAGTTCAGCCAGAGCATGAGGCACAACTTGAGCCACAGGTTCATTCAGAGCTAGAGTCTGAATCCAAATGAAAAGCGACTTAAAAGGCCCAGCAAGTATTTTGAGTCGCCTTACATAGATCCCCTGCGTAACGTGAGGAAGAAGATGTGGACCTTTAAAGATGCTGTCGAGGCCTTCAACAAGTGGTTCGCTAATACTAGTACAGACTCTGAGCTGATAGAGTACGATTTTGGTGATTGGAGGAAGGACTTCTTCCGGATCATCTTAAAGCTAGGTGAATGGCTGTTCAATGATGTAAGTAATCACAACATATTTTCTAAATTTATAGTCTTATTTTTTATACCATTATCATTATACTGAATTTATTTTTTATGACCTACAGCAAATTGACGAGGCATGGGGTCTTTTATCTATGAGAAGATCACGGGCCAACGAAGGACAATTCATTAATGATATTATCATCCTAGATTATGTATTTTGCCAGAAATTGAGAGGGCGATTCATCACCAACAAAAAGAACTTGGCAACGTATACATTTGACAACGACCTGGATGACTATGTCTGTGGAAAGAAGCGCATAATTGGCCAGAAATGAGATGGCGCACATGACTTCACTATGCCTCTTAACATTGAGAAGAAGCATTAAGTTGCGCTTTATGTTGATTTATCTGAATTCAACATAAAGGTGTATGACTCAGCTGTTATGATGTACTGAGATCAACAGATGTAAAAACAAGTGGAGCCAATCTCTGTCATGATGCCTAAGTTCTTGAAGTACACAGGTTTATTTAACCATCTAGGCGATAAACTTGATTGTGCGTGACCAATCGTTCGTCCTAAGTGGTTGGTCCACAACCTTAGAACAGGTAACTGCGGACTTTTCACATACAAATTTATCGAATACCTTGTCCGCAGAATCCCGTTAGAAGAACTCGCTGAAGAACAAGTAGAAACTTACCGGTTGGAACTTGCGGTCAGAATTTAGAGCGAGTACAAGCTTAAAAGGCCCGTGAGTAGTATATAAAATGTTGGTTGTTATGTTTGTTGTAAAATGTATACAAAAAATTCAATTTATTGGTGTTGCAATGTTTTTATTATTGACGTTGCAATGCATTCACTTATTATATCATACAGGTTATTTTGGCTTTGGAGAAGCTTATATTTTATGGGAAAATGCTGCCCAAATTTTTACACAATGATGTTTTTTATTTTTTTTGGAAAACTTTGAACCAGTCCCGAATATGGCAAAATGCGTGTTTCATTGTAGAATCGGGTAA